TCGATTTTTCCAAAAAATTCAAGTTCCTCAAAATACCTCGAGTGATACATCATTTTCATCGGAAAGAGACAAGGAATGCAACGAGCTAATTAAAATACTCTGGGGCCTTTCCAGTTCCCAAATAATCCACATTTTCTGTCTATTTTGAACGGTTTTTAAGCGGTCGCAATCTTCAACGGACGATATCTTCCTTATTTTCGACCCACAACTTTCATGTTCGCTAATGGGCAACTTCTTAGGTCGGAAACAATTAAATGGTCCCATGTTTGATTGGTAGCCTATTGGAATATTTAAGCATTCAAATAGGTAAATACGATCTTTACTTCAAATTATAAGAATGTTTTGTATTAAAAAGGTACTCTACTACAATTTTTGTCACCGCGTCATTATTAATATATAAAAAATCACGTTAACCAGGCTAAAACAAACTAATGCCAAATTAACCGAAAGGACAAGAACGGAAAACTGCGTGATAAGTAACCCACCAACTGACTATGGGCGCACTAGATAACCTCAATCAATGCGCGACCGAAAAGATGATCAAACTTTTGCGAAAAACACAATTATTAGGCATCTTAGCGACAATTTAGCATGTGGAGTTTCATATTTCAAGTGTTTTTGGGCTTAATTTATGCACCATCCAATGTTTTAGCTTAAATCTGCTTAATTTAAGGGGTTCTTGGTAAAACAAGAAAACCCTAAAAGTTCGTACTGAAATGACACTTTTACCCTTAACTGGAAATAGATCATTGATCCATAACCTTTTACAGGAGGTTTTATTGACACCGGTAACCCTAACCTATTTCAGTGCATTTCAACCACACTTTCTCTGTTAATCTATGGTTACTTGCGCTTTTGATATTCAAGAAGCAACAGGTATTTACGTTGCCGTTAAGAACATTGTTGCCGGCATTCTGATCTGGTTTTTTGCAAATTTCAGAATTGGTTTTTGTTAGGATTTTTCCTGTACTTACTCCCTAAACACCCCCAGAGGAATGACGCCCTATTTTGAGTCACCCTGTCTATAAAGTACTGAAAAAAATCGATTTTTATATTGGTGCCATAAAACTCACCTTCTAAATCCGTTGACTGGAAATCCGAATCTAAATCCACTCGCGCCGGTGGCAGGAACCGCCACCGGCACCGGCGCACCACCCTGCATTAAGGGTGCCATCTGCTGCGGCGCAGGAAACACAAAAGCACTCGCGGGCATTCCATTCGGCACCACTGTTTGCAACACTGGCCCGGGCGGATTGGGTAACATCCCTCCCGGTATCATTGCAGGAGGAGGCGGCAGGATTTGAGGTGGTAGCGGAGGCGCCATCGAAGCCATCTGGGCATTGGGCAGCGTGGAGTAGGGAGGCGGCAGGTGGCTGTTGAGGATATCAGGGAGGCGATTCTCCTGCGGCTCCTGTCCTCCCCCCGCTTGGGTGCTGCTGTCGTTGGTGCTTCTGGGAGGGTTTGGAGGGCGCCTGTTTTGTCTGCGCTCCCTTCGGTCGCGGCGCCGCTGCTCCCGCACTGAGGGAGGCTGATGTTGAGTGGCTGCGCCAGAAGAGTTCAGTGCCGGGAGGATTTCGTCGGTTTGCGCCTCCGTGCTGGTGAAGGTCCTGGTGCGGGTTATGTTGGGATTGGGCGCACTGTTTATCTGGGCCGTTGTGGTGATAACGCGCCCAGCACCTGCTGGTTGGGCGTCGGCACTCGATGCCCCATTCTGTATGCTCACCACATTGGCTTTCATCATCGAGTTGTCAGCGTTGGTGAAATTAGGCATCCTGGACGCAGTCCCACTGGCACCACCATGCACGTGGGTGCTTGAACTGCCCCTTAACCCGGTGGTGATCACTTGGTTGATACTGTCAATCCGAACTGGGTTGATGTTATGCACGGTCACCCCATCCCCGCGCCCATTGAACACGCTTTGATTCTCCACATTGGTTACATAACTGGCCACCGAAACGGAGCCGCCAGCGTTACTCTGATGACTCCCACTGCCCAAAGGCAGTACTTGCACGTTGGAGACGCTGTTGCCTTGATCGTTACTTAAGGTGTTCAAACAATGGATGGTGGGCACCGAGCTGACCACATTCACAGGTACTGCTCGGTAGAAATTCACATTCACGTTGCTAATGTGTCCAGAATTGAGCGCACTTGTTAAGTTGCTCACTTGTGTCTTGAGCGGTGAGTTGCTGCCATGCCGAACTGGTAACTTGGTCGGTACCACTCGCACATTGTTGTTGGAGCTGATTAATGGCGCCCCATAACCCATGGCGGTTTGCTGCAGAACCGACGGCCCTTTAATCCGCACACTCCCAGGAGTACCACTGCTGGCAGTCACATCGTACTTGGACACCAAAGTCATGGACTTTGGAACACTGCTGCTCCGAAAGTGGTTGATCAGCTGCAGGTTCTGCTGCTCTACTTGGGGGCTGGTGCCCGAATTCTGCAGGAACACTGCAGGTGGCACCTGGCCGTTGGTGGAGTACCGCAGGATTTGCTGCGAGGGTTCCGAGATGTTTCGGAAATGCTGCGGATAGCCGACAGTTTGCGGCCTAGATGCAGCATGGGAGTTCTGAAAACTGGCGGCAGTACCACTGCAGGGTACTGAGGGGTACCGTGCATGGCTCGACGGCAGTCCAACGATATTGGCAGCATTTAGGGAAGAGTCCGGCTGGATCGACATGGGCTTCAGCCCATTGTCACTGGAACCACCTGGCAGAGCGCTCGAGGGCTTACAGTGCTGGGCGCTGGCGCTACCGGAACCACCTTGCATACTCGCTTCACCCGAAAGCTCCCCAAAGCATGACGTAGCCGATTCACTGAACGTCTCAAACGCACACTCGACATTCAAACGTGAACTGGCTAGTGTTGGCAGACTGACAAATGCACCAGTGCCGGAGCGTTGTAAAAGGCTGTCACGTGGCCTGAGGACAGGTCCTGGTTGGTCGGAAGGTTCTTGTCGGTTCAGGTTAATAACATCTGAATGTAGGTCCTTTCGGTGCTGAAGCGACGGTGGCCGCGATGGTGGTGGTACCGTGCCGCTGTACTGAAGAGAATTGGAAGATGGTACGCTCTTCTTTGTGTTCGATGGACTCGTCGCTGCGTTGTCGAATGTCTCGTCAAGGTCGAGGCTGATCGGCGAAGTCGAAGGCGTGTAAGAACTGGAACAAGTCAAGACATGTCTGAACCTAACTGTGCTCCGGGCAGAGGGCTGCACATGCATTCGCCCTAAAATAATCTTGGTGAACTCTTATTCAACAAAAACAGTTTCCAAACAAAACACTCTGTTTAATTCAATTACACAGAATTTCCGTCAAAAACATACAAACATATAATTAGTTTTTAAGTTTATTAAGTAGGTTCTTTGAATAATGCAGTTTCACTTGAACCATTTGCGGTTTGACACAAAACACAAAAAAAGTGTTCTTTTTCTGTTTATTGAACCAAGAGTATCATATTTTCATGAAAGCAACTATATTTTTTAGTTGGTTAGCCGCTCAAAGTTTTGTATATATAAGTATTCTACTATGTGAATACTTTAAATCAAAATGCTTAGATGGAAATTAATCCGGTTTTTTTTTATTAAAAAACAAATGTATTTTTCCTTTTACACATCTAATACTGCTATTGCTTCTTATGGTCCCACACAGTCTATATTTTCCTAAAGAAAATGTTTGCGCTCGGAAACAATCCATTGAGGTAAAAAAAACGCACTCTCGAAAACAGACATTTTTAGATCGGAAATAATTCATTAAACTCAAAAAACACGTGAAATTTTAATTTTTGACCGATTTTTTTCCAAACAATGAAGTCGCTGAAAATGTCTCGAATTCTACATCATTTTTATCAAAAGGTTGCGAGAAACTCAAAAAACTCACTAAAAAACACGCCAGAACCATTTTGGCCAATTTTTTCTTGGTGGTTATAATCTTATGCGATAAAATCATTCTTTATCAATACACCCTGGGAAGTTTCTTAGGTCGAAAACAAAGGTTTGAGCAGAAAAAACCATGTATATGTAAAAATTTTACTCCTGATCGAAAATTTCCTAAAGCGTACGATCAGTTCTTCCAAAAAAAATCAAGGCACTCAAAATGCCTTTAATTCTACATGATTTTCATCAAAAAGAAGAAATAAATGCAACTAACTCATTGAATAATAGGCTAAAAATTCATTAAAAAACCACTCAACAAACTTAGGATCAGAAGTCATTTACATTTTTAGCTCATTTTAAGCGGTAACGATCTTAAGTAACGATATCTTCTTCATTATAGACTCAATCGTTTTATTACTGCAAACTAGAAGCGTCTTAGATCTAAAACAACAAATTGAGCACAATAAACATGCATGTGAAAATTTGTCTTTTGACCGAAAATTTGACAAGGAACAAGGGTGGATGTTTCCAAAAGTCAAGTCACTCAAAATGCCTCGATTTCTACAAATTTTTACTCAAAAACACGCTAGAAGTTTCAGATCCGAAGTAATCACATATTTGTTTGTCGAATTTTAGGGCGTTTTTGAGCGGTCCTCGGTTTTAACCGACGATACCTTTCTTATTTGAGCTCAAATCAGACATATGTGAAATTGAAAAACTTGATGGTTATTTAAAATTTCATTAAAATATAACCAACTTTATTTGGTTAAATTTATGATTTTGTATATTTGGTTACAGTTATTAATCCATTGAATCTACAAAGCAACCCTCTTTAAAAATGGTTTTTGTATTTTAGCACAAAAGAGTATAAATCATTGAATTTTTACATTCAAAGAAACAATAACTTCTTCATCTTTTAAGTGTAAACAATTTTTCAAGCAATTTTTTCTTAGAGTATTAGAAGCACTTTTAAGTTTCCTCAGATGTACATTTGTCAGTTTCTTGCATAGAAAGGCTTTACGCATTTTTTTGCATAGAATTCTAATTTATTTAAGAATGTATAGAACACGTACGTTTATTTTACGTACGTCTATACCACTAAAGAAGTTTATTTTGCCAATTCCACAGCGTCCAAAGCCTTAAGTTATTTTGATTTTTTCTGAAAAAGTTCCGTTTTTAGTATATGTATATTTTTTGACAAAAATCTCTTCAACTGGATACGCAAAATTTTAATTCCTTCTTTTATTATAAGCCGAAAAATGTATTTCCGAAAAGTTACAAGACGTTCGCGGACAATTTTACTTACATACGAGAAAAAAGTGGAAAGACTCCGATGGTCATATTGTAGAAATGTAAAAATGGGATTTAAGATAATTTAATTAAAAAAGTTTTTAATGGAATTTAAGAGTGTAAATCTGAAAGGTGCCATAAAACACGAATTGATCCGACAAAACACTTTTTAAACAATTTTATTTAGAAGGTGACTGAATAAAATAGTTCATGATGAAATTCTCACTTTTTCCAAAAGACAATTTACGGAAGGAAATTATTATGTGCCAAAAATTGCCAAATGAAAATTTGGAAAATGTGGAAAAGATTCATGGAAAATGTATGTAATCCACGAGAAGCACAGCATAACTGACAGAATTAACTGACTTAGAAAAAATCAAGTTTTGTAGACTTTTATTTTCAAACACCATATATGTATACAAAATTTGCCATAACAATAGGAAATATCCTGACAATTAAAGCAAAAATTACATTGGAATAGTGAATGAACAATGTTCTGCAAAAATCCGCTTAAAAAAGACAAATGAAATGAAACTTTTGACCGAACCAAAGTTAAACCTGATAATTTATATTCAAGAAATATTCCCGCCAAATACCGGCCCGGCTCTTGCATAAAAATTAACTAGACAATTTTCATTCATGTTTCATTTTCTTTCACTCCTTTTTAAACTCGCCATTAGCAAGCAACAAGCGTTTATGAATATTATCGGTAATTTTCTAAGGTTTTTGGTAATTCCTCGAACGATTTCTTAATAAACCGAGTTAGGTGCGTGAGCAACCATAGAAATGGTCTGATTAAGAAGAAACTGAAAAAGATAGTTAAAAAATAAAGCCACACAAACACTAAATAATCCAACACACTTGCCACAGTACAAACATTAATAAGGAGGTTAAGTTGTAGGGATTCTATAACTAAATACTGAAGTTTGAAGCCAAGTTGAAGAAAATAATTACAGAAGACATAAAAGCAAAAAAAACGAATGAAACTTTGCATTACTTGAAAAATAATGGGAAAAATACAGTGAAACACTTACCAAGTGGAGTAATGACTGGATTCATAATCGTTGCCATTATTTCCGACATTGTATTCGTTATTGTTTTGATTCTGGTACTCGTAAGGCTGCCAAAGCAGCGAACTCAGCGCCTCTTCAACATTTTGATGAAAACTGTTTCTGTTCTTTGTTTTTTCCGCAAAATAGTTGTTCGAGTAGTCAGTTTCCTGTTTCGCATCAGTCAACGTCGATGTCGCTACTTTTAAATTATCTGCAATCAACCAATAAAAACGCACATTTTAACATGCAAATTTTATGTTAAATTTTTTTTGACAAAAAGTTCAACTCAAGTACGCAGCTAGAAACATGCAGCATATTAGACAGACAATGGATAGGAATTTCTGAACAAGTATGTAACTAGTGATGGAACGAACTGGTGAAATCAAAAGTTTCTCCCAATAATAAAAATTTAATAAATCCTGTAAATGGCTTTTAGTTGCAAAAATTTAAAACCCCACTATTAAGACGATTTTTAAAAGGCAAACAAAGCAAAACTTTTGTTCTACAAACTTGAAGCTTGAAATTAAACGTTCAGAGCGAAATCATGCCGGCAAAACTCCCGAAGCCAAAACTTTCAGCGGTGTCTTGCAGACCAAACCCTCTCAAACTGGCGTAATTGAATTTTGAATTTTTAATTATCACTTACCTATCGGCGTTTTTGAAGCCGGTTTATTTCCGTTGATATTGAAATTTTCCAAAGAGTTCACGTTCAACGTTTTCAGCGAAACTCTGGCATCGGAACTCATCGTTTTTTTCAAGCAGAGAATTTTTGGAAAACCGTGTTTCAGTGCATGCTTATCAGCTTTCTGCATACTCTTCGAATCGCATTTGTTCGGCATTTTGTCCAGCCAATCGGTTGCAGTGCTTTTGGTGGCCGTTCACCTAATAGGTTGGCCATCAACTAACTTAATCTGCAACAAATGCACTAATGTAATTAAAATAAAATTACAAGAGAAAAAGTGTACCATTTTTAACGCTGCAGAATGACGCTATTTCCCGCTGATTATTGGCAGGGATTCTTGATGGAACAGCGAAGCTTCTGGAGGCCAACAATTCCGTGACTGTGTTGGTGCCATTTAGGTGCCAAAACTTAATCTGGAACAAAAATGGTTTTTTTTTGGAATTCACTGTTTCCCTCGGGTAAATGCAAATGATTAAAGTCTACTATTTGAACAGCCCATGTATACAGTATGCAATTAAACGCAGAACCAAAAAACTTAATATTTTGATAGGCGTTCATTACCAGGGCATTGTTGCTGTTATCAGTGCGATTCCAATCAATTGATTGCAAAAACTGCAAATGCGAAATCAGTTTCAACTAAAATTTCTACGGGCTACACTCAAATGTTCATGAGAATCGAATCGGAAGCAAAAACTTTAATTATAAAACATTAAAGCCAGCAAATAAATACATCGATAAAACATAATTAAAACCCTGGAACGTTATTGAATATTTTTATGTTTTCAATTAAATTTCAATGTCCGATTGTTCCGCGTAGTGCAATAAATTCGGTCTATAAATCGGGCGTTAGTGAAACTGAGTTTTAGTGGTAGATCTGAAATCGCTCATGATGGACAAAAGTTTCATTTTTTTACTAGCAGCTTTCGTTTGCTCGGTTGGATCAGCCCACATTCCTACTATTCCATGTCCAAATTATTTCAGGTAATTCCATCCGATTTTATATTTGCCTTTGTCTAGAGTTACAAGCTTTTTGTCAATTTAATTTCTTTATTTATTTACCACTTGCATTGCTGCCCTGAACAATTTCTTAGTGATTTGATTTTTCTCAATTACCTTTTCTTGGATAACATGAGTCCGATTATCATAAGTTTGACTTTAATTAAAATTCTTCGACGGTCTGATGCAGAACAGGAACAGATGTACTAGGTGAGGAACGGTTATGACTAAGCACTTTCTAAGGCTAATAAGGAAAACTGTTAGGTATTTTTATTAGTCCTAAAGACACCTAAAATCTCATTAGCTAAATGAGCTGCAGCAATGGGACAAACTTCCACATTTTATGCTTTTTTCGTTGATTTCCTTGGGTTGGCTTGGGTGGAAAATGCAGGAAATTAAATGTGAATTTGCCCAATCTTACTATTAAGGTTGACAAAATGTTAACTTGAATACAAAAGAATATCCAAAACATCTCTGGAAAAATACGTTAATACCGTATTTTACTGGTCACATCAATTTATTTCTCAATGAAGCTCTTCTTGAGGCTCATAATCGTTCGAAATTATCACAAAATTTTAAAGTATTTCTCAAGAGTTCCATCCAAGGTTTCACCCCGAATTTGAAGCATTTACAGTTCCAAAAATACGTAATTCCTTTAAAGCGTAGAAAAATGAACAAGTTTCTCTTGAAAATACCTACATACCTTCAAAATAATTTCGATTATTTTTCTCCCTCGAACATATATGGGTTTCTTATAAGCAAAGCGGCGACAAAACGAATAAATAAATTGAAAATAACTTCGACATAAAAATTTTCCTTTTCCAGATACGTTTCTGATCCTTATCAGAACATTGAAGGACTCATACTCGTTCCTTACTATCAAACTCCTGAACTTCTGCTCGCTGTGAACGCGTCAATGAAAGGATTTTTCGGACAGGAAAACTCTGCAAGTATACCATGAAAAATTATTTCGTGGAAATTTAATTTGCAAATTATTTTTTTATTGAAATGATCTGCTTCAGAACATGCAGCTGACGATGCTGACTACTGCAACCGATCTAATTCAGGGCTTATCGACGATTGTTAAATATAAGCTGCAGTTTCCGGTTCAAGACTCAATTCCTCAAATAACCAGCATAATTTTCAACGGTCAACAATTCTGTACTGGACCACCAGTCCCAAGTAAGCAGTTTGTTTAAGATGGAAATCCGCACTGAAGTTCTAAAACTGAATTTATGTGGGGAATAGAGGCCTATTAAGTTAAGCCCTGATAAGGATGAAAATCCACATCATTTACTTAGGATTTTAGCTTCATTACAACAGTTTAATTAGCTTTGCTCCTCATCGGGAACACTCACTGAATAGGCGTTAATTATTTAATAGCGCTTCAATGTAAAGTTGTAAACTTAAACCCTTATCTTATTTGATGAAAAATCATGATTCTGAAAATTCACTTGGTTGGCAAACGACATCGTTTCTTTTGCTTTATTTAATTTTTAATTTTATGCTATGTATATATTAATAATGTTTTGTTGCTTGTTTTTCAAATTTTCAGTGGAGGCTCCAAACCCATATATGCCGGGCTCATCATCTGCGGTTACAAATATGTACGCAACGCACACATCTAGATTTGCCCCCGTTCAGCCCCAATAATCGGGGCTAAAAGAAGGAAAAATCATAATAAAAATTTCAAATGAATGTGGTTTTACTTTTCATTTTTTTATTCAACTTTCCCCAATATCAGAGAAAATCATTTGATACTACAATGTTCAAGTGTTTTGTAATTAAAAATAAAGAGCAAAAAAGTTCTCATCTTTGGAAAATGAACTACAGTAAAGATGTCCAATAAATCCTTAAAAAAAAAAGTTTTCTTTATAAATTGTCCTGAACAAGAATTTTTCAAACACTAGGCGAGAAGCTCTTTTTGGTTCCATTTACCTGCTAAATACGCGACATTCTGTATATGCTCTAAACTTTAATCAATCAATTTCACTATTGAATTTCCATATTAATCCTTTTGGCGTGATTCTGTTATTGTCAATAGACTTATTTAATTGCATTAATTAGTTTGCCGATATTAATTGAAAAGCGAGTCATGTCGAAATTCATATCCAGAGAGTGAAATTGAATTTTGGGCAATTTATTTAACTTGGCCAGGCTTATTGGGAAATTAACGCGTTATTGCCATTCAACGCTTGACTGTCTATATTTATATATGTATATTAAAATAATAGTTAATTCATCAATAAATATAAATACATCATGAAACCTCGAATGAATGCAAAAAATTATATGGAAAAACTGGTGCGAGCTAATGAAATAATTTTCGTTTCAGATTCACATCAAACAACAGAATTTTACATTTCTCGCAAGATGAGTTTGAATTCGCCAATCCAGAATAGGGTGCAAAGAAGACAACTTTCAGCCGGTTTACTGGATAATAAGAATATTCCCGATCAAGGTTAATAAATATGAATCTATTCAAGGTCCAGATTAAAAATAAATTATTTGTAGGGAACTCATATTTCTACCCTTCGGGTTATGGGGTTTATGACGACAGCATTACCTTCCAGCATAAACCACACCCTGACGAGGATACGCATCGAAATTTCTACGATTACAGCGAAGAAATATATTTAATCCCAATGAATCGCAAAGCAAACTAGGATTTGATTTAATTATTATCAACATTGTTAAATACGTATATTTAGACTGAATTTTTAATCAATAGACTGTATTTTTAACTACATATATACTCGTCGTCCTTTATACAGTCATCTTACTTAATTAGTTGGTAAGATTTCCTAAAAGTTCTGCACGTTGCTGTTTAGTCGCGAATATCTTGAAACGGACGGCTTATCCAGATAATAGTCAAAAGCACATTTTTCAGCCAAATTTTCCCGATAATTCTCCTAGAAAAAGTTGGGGATATTTCTTTTCCACGAGTTTTCAAAACCTGAAGGCAGATTTGGAGTGGTGATGCTTAAAATCCCTATACAATTACGTTAATTTTGCAAGTAAAACTTTGTATAAATTCAAAACCTTTTCGCTTAAGGTAAATTGGCCCTTTTTAAAGGAAATGGATGGCAAATTGTCATTCTCACGTAAAGTGAGACAAAATTTTATTTGTAAAAATGCCGCTTTACTACGAAATGGTACTGATCCCGAATGCAGTTCACGTTCTGGCGATTTAGCGCGAATAAAATTTGTCGGCCTGTTTTTCTTTGCTGTGCAGACAAACGACACAGTGCCGCCGATGAATCGGCCCTCACAACACCATAAATACATATTTCCAATTGAATTTACCCCAAAAACATACAAAAGTTCTCCTGAAAAACACCGCCGTTTCTGAGGACCTGAAGAACTTGGCTTCTATTCAAACCAATTGGAAATGAAACTGGTGAACTTTAAAAAATGGTTTCCTTCTGTTTTATAGAAAACACTTTTTTAGAGTCTGTCACTGGCACTAAATGAATAAAACGTGAAATAAAAGACGCTTTTATTTCGCAACATCTGCGTGTAACATTCTCCATAAAACATCCTGTGACAGAAATTTGGATGTGTTTTATTCAAATTGGTCGGTCAATTGCGGACCTGATCAGCATTCTAATGGATGCGTGTTCAACTTGCTCTTGTTATCGCAGTTTATGGCAATGACGAGCTCATTTCGATTTAAGGTGCATTATAAAACCAAAGTGAACTGGAGTGTTTTACAGCATAACTTCTAGTTCTAGTTTTTCTTTGCCTACTTCAACTGTTGATGAGTTAATTTTATGCGAAGATGCTGCAGCTGAACCAAACCCGTGATCGACTTTATAGGAAGTAGATCCATGTAAATTCTTAACAAAAGGGAGAAAACATTACTTTGTACTCACGCGGAGCAAAAGAAATTGTAATGTTTGCGCGATAGAGCGCATGAATTTTTCAACCAAAGTAAAACTGTAAAATGTGTATCAATTATTTTACATAAACATGCCAATAAATTGCTAATTTAACAGTGAACGCTTCTATAGATGAGACACTTTATCACTTTATGCCAAGGGCGGATCCAGGGGGGGTCATTCAATTCTCTATCCAACGATGCCAAAACTAATTCTCTGGCTAGAATGGTTCTTGAGAAACTTCGAAAAAAGCAGGGTCATGTTCAAGTGGATTTTGCAACTCAAAAAAAAAAACCACGCAAATCTAAAACTCCTTGAATTCAAGCCATTTTTTGAGAAAACTGCCAACATTTTCTTATCGAAGGTTCACTTTCTAAAAAGGCCATTTATTTCTGTCTGGAATGATGTTCAAATTAGCGTTCTTGCTCATTTTGCCTCCGAGAAATGAGCAAAAACGGGACGGAAAACATGAAATTTTGGCATAATCTTGCACCTAAGTCTCTGATATTCAAATTTAACTTTCTGGGTCAAAACTACTCGAATTTCCTCACTCACGTTGTTACGACTGAATTGACTTTGCAATTCTCTATCCAACGATGCCGAAACGAATTCTGTGGCTCGAATGGTTCTTGGGAAACTTCGAAAAAAGCAGCGTCATGTTCAAGTGGGTTTTGCAACTCAAAAAAATGGAATGATGTAAAAACGAGGGCTCTTGCTCATTTTGCTTCCGAGAAACATACAAAACAGGACGGAAAACATGAAATTTTGCAATAATCTTGCGCCACCCTTGCACAAAACGACGATCATTTTTCTAATTTCATAAACAACAGAAGACAGTATTTTTTCTACATACCCCCCCCCTTTACTTTAAAGCTGGATCCGCCCCTGCTTTATGCTATTTCCCATTTTTTATTAGCTAAACAAATAAAAACAAATCGCTTTAATGCAAGAGGGCTGTTTAAATAATTCATAAACATTGCGTGTCCAGGCTAATTTGGCTGATAAATCCTGAAACCTTCACCCAATTTAACTATGCAATGTATCAATGGATGAATGTTATTGTGCATTAGAGTGATTGCTGTTCGATCGTATTTAAACGGCAATTTAAACGGGGATAAAGCCGATGTCGATGGCGGATTATACTCGATGGTGTCATAAAACTAACTCTCAATTCCCTATGGGAGATGGGAAATACGGAATGTTGCTTTGAAAATTAAACATATTTTTTGCAAATAAGCCGGCCGAAAATGCTGGTTTTTTAAGCAGTTAACTGATGGTTTCGAATATTTCGATTCAGTTCAAGTGCTGGCACCAAAAGCTACTATGATAATCAACCATCTTTGTATGCATCTACCGTCGCTGTAATAAGATTTTTATGTTCAGTTATGGCTAGAAAACGTCAGGAATTCATATTTTACGTTGTTGTTTGTACAAGCCTTGTATGTTCCACTGGAGAGCAACGTAGTATATAAAAGTTTCAATATGTACTCAAGAATATAACACAATGGACTCTTTTTAAATCGAATTCATGAATTTGTTCCAATAGATTATTTGATCAAATATTTATACTCAAATGTATACACTTGGGGAAAACCGAAAAATATTTTCAATTTGAAACTCAGAACTCGAATTTTTGCCTGTTTAAGTCTAATGGGTTTTGATAAATCGAAAAATTTTATGTTTCTATGAAACGTTTAGCTTGTATTCGCGGAAAATGTCTTCAATCGCTTTTAAAGCTCAATAGGACTGGTTCGTTCTGTTTCAATTTTTGTTTAATTTCGGCCATTTACTAAGACATTATATTTTATAAAAATATTTTAAGTTTTTCGGTAATAAAATTAGCTGTGTTCTTAATGCTGAAATAATTTCAAACACGCGTCTGTTCATTTACTAAACAAAGTTGATTGCTTTACCTTAAGGGCCTTAACCCAATCTAAGATATAATCATTTTTGGAAGGTAGAGAAGTTTGTGCGTGTATCCATAAAATTGGAGGACACAAGAATAAATTGGTAAAACCTGTGAAACTCACGGAGCTGAAAAAAAGCTTTCAGAACCCCCGGGCAAAGAAGAACGTAGAAATCATTAATTAAATAAGCAGCAATTGGAAAGGAATTTCTATTTCCATCAATAGCAATAAAGGGATAATTTGAACATTGAAGCAAATAAATTAAATGGAATACAAACTTTAGACGACAACTATAATACGTCGTTTTTAAAGTAAACGCAATTGAATCAACTTTGATTTGCCTCTAAGGAATTTTAAAGAAATCGAAAGTTTTGTTGGAACTAAAATGTATATTAAAAAACGCGTGTTATAAAACCTTTTCCAATTTTAATGTTTTGCCACTTGATATTGACCGCCTAATAAAGCTGAATAAGCAACTGTAAGTGATGTAACTATAAAATATAATGGTAAGCAAAGTACAGAAGTAAATAAACTGACTGGAACAAGGAATAAATGAAAAGAAGTCCAGGACTATTTATAGATGAGTGACAATATCTTTTAGCAAAATGCGACTGGCAAAACAGCAAAAGGACGAAGCATAAAATTGTATTTACATTAAATTAAAATGAATTTGGATAATTTCGATTAACGGCCTGAGAAGAAGAGAATCAGAATATTTAACACAGAACAGATGAAGATACGCACAACAGACTAAAACTCAGAAACTATGCAAGAACTAGCTAAATTATAAGAAAACTAGCAAATCACAATTAAGAGGCATAAAAAGGAGGTCAACGAAGAATTCAATGAATGTCGATAAGAAACTTTGCTGTGAAAAATCTTAAAATTTCCAGAAATTTCAAAATCAAAGTTAGTTTTTGGAATCATTATTAGAAAGACTCTGGACCTGTTCAATTGAAGAAATTATTTTTTTTAGGAAGGAAAATGTGAATGATTCTCGCTGGATGTCTTCCATATCGAGGGCATAACCCAAAGAAATTATTATTAATTATTTTAAAAAACTACAGTTTTTAATGGGTTTAAGTGAATAACAAATTTGTCCTAATTTAAAAAACTGTAGATGTTTATAGCGAAATGTTGAGATTGGTCCTAATTATGAATAAAATCAATCGACTTCTCTATTGAAAAACCAGAAGGGCTATGAACTTTCCCCTTGCAAAGCAACAAATGTAAATGCTATAGAAATTACTGAAAAAGCTGGAAATAATTTTATTAAATCATCAAGTATAGGAAAAATACAAAGAACTAAATTGAAGAAACTTGGAAGTATTCAATTCCACCCCAGAAATTATGGAATAATGCCAGCCCCAAAATAAACTTATTTGGTCTGACCCCCTACAGCCCTACAGCGCATTGTACAGACACGTGTCACTGCCATCAAAACGGTGAAGTTGCTATTCCATCAACCCCTCGAACGTAACAAAGAAGCAACGCTGGACCCCAACATCCCTCGAGCATTGAAAATCTGAGTTGTTTCGGTTTCCGGTACATTTCTTTGCTTTTTCACTTCTCTAAGAGCAGGAACTTTCATGGCCCCGATTTTTTTTCGGTCAGATTGACTCTTGTTTGTTTATCGGTTTCCTTCTGTTTTATCGGAGAATTGCTAAATTTTACAATCGGTCAAACTTTTATTTACTCACTACGTTAGTTCAGTTGCTAAGCTGGACTTTCGTGTACTCCAAGGACTTTGAAAGCTTTGTTACAATGCGGCCATTTTTTGTTTGTTTTCTTGATACTCTGAGCTAGATTGACTTCAGTATGGAAAAGCACAGGAGAGCTCGTCTGTTGAAAATTGAATGCAACAAAGTCGTGGGCTTTTTGCTCAAGAAACTTCTGGAAAATTTAACGTTATCTGTGGGATTCATCAACAAACTGCCGAACTATGGATAACAAGGAATAAA